CTTCTTGTTACTAGTAGTAAGGCACTTGTTACTACTAGCGTGGCACTAGTAGTAAGGCAATAGGAGGTAATCAAACATCAGATGGATAAAGTTATACATTCAGCATCCCAACCAGCCAGCATGTCAACCGACCAATTGAACCTGGTGGCCAGAAGAACTACATAGCCGCAACGGCGGAAAAGACAGAAACCATCTTGCAAAATGTTTTGTTCCCCAGAGAGCGCGATCTATTGGGTCTTTTTTAATGCAAGTATAGGAAGAGGTGCCTGTGTGCGTGGGTGCTGGTGTCGCTGGAAGGTGCCGCTGCTTTGGTGCTGCCCACAAATATCTTTTGCTATTTGGGGTCTATGCGGGTGTACTTTGCCGTATGCACATGCTGTATGGTTTTCTCATGCGCCTTGTGCATTTGTTCTGCCATTTGCGTCTTGTCACCCGAACGGGATTTTAGTAAGTGCTAGTAGGGACGGAAAGCTCACTCAGCGGGGATCTTTGGTTCGTTCATGGCACTTGTTACTACTAGCTTCTTGTTACTACTAGTAAGGCACCTGTTACTACTAGCGTGGCACTTGTTACTACTAGCTTCTTAATTGTTACTAGAACTTTCTCTTTCACCAGGTTCACCGCCATGTCACATTTTGCGTGTAGGTTTACATTGTGACTCTCGTGATAGTGACGGATTTTGTGAGCCAGTTTGATGGGCTGATTCACAAATGCCGTGTTCCTCAAGGTCGGCGAGAAGATAAAACAAATGTTTAAGTTTGCGCTATAGTATATCTGATATTATGTTGCCCATATTGATCAATCATACTGCCCATATGACCCATACAGAACAGAATGCATCCGCATAGGACAACCCGGATTGCCTTTCATCATGAGCAATAGTCACCTATTGCAGCTGGCTCTCTTTTCACGTGTCTATTGACTGCAAAGGCCCCATTTGCCAACATATCATTAGGTTTTTCTCCTTCGTCATTCCATCATGTGGTGCCGTAGGATGCCAAGGACGATTGGTGTAGTATCACAGAGTTGGAGGAAGGGAAAACCTTGCTGCGCGCTTGATCACTAGAATTCTGAAGTTGGCAATGTTACATCCTAGCCCGCAATGCACGAAAACCTCTTCATGTTTCATGCTTTTGTTCCATTGTCAATAGAAGCATCTACATGCGTTTCGGCATGCTCACGACCAACCAACAGATTAAAGTGTGAAACCACATGAGCAACAGGCTAAAGATCGACTTAGAACATCCACTTCGACCTGTAAAGCGATATATCTGAGAAATACTGTTTCTAATAGCAAACATTGTTACTACTAGTAAGGCACTTGTTACTAGAAGCGATGCACTTGTTCCTGGTAGCTTATTGTTTCTAATAGTAACTCCCAAAAACGATAACCTTGGAATCCAGCATGAGCACACGTGATATGATGTGATGTGATAGCAAGTACTGCATTTGGACCAGCACCTGCGCTTGCTGACAGCATAGTTGTGCACGGAATTGTGGAACAGACGGTGAAGCATGCGAACATTGACACGTTTGCCATGCGAACATTGCGCCCCTACCATTCCTCAAGATCCTCAAGCTGCCCATATAGTGAATAGTGTTCGTAACGTAGCATATTCTCGCAATGTTCCCGGCCTTCTTGCAAAAATGTCAATTCCCACAACACTTTCCCAAGATGTATTTAATCAAAACGAAAACTAACGATAACCAACGTGCTCTTGTGATGGATGGACCACATGTCATGTACAGCCTGTGTGTTCCAATTGATTTCTGCTCTTGAGCAGGAAGGTAATCCGCCAATGTTCACTTGAGGCTCTATCAATCTGACCATTCTTGCTCTTGCTTGCCCTTACGCAGACGGGACCGGAAGGAAGCCAGGGAAGTGTATGAAGGGTAGTGCATGAGGCGGAGGGCAGGTTTTTGGAGATGCATGGCATGTGCTCTTTGTGCTGCTGCTCCATGAAAGGCCAGCCAAAAGTGTTGGTCTGAGAATGGCTTTACTTCATGATGGCATATGCACAGCCTACATTACTCTTATATATCAAGTTTGATCATGCTTCCACTGTTGAATTCAGAAGAGCACACCGCCATAGCACTCAGGAGCATGCAGTCGTATACTGTTCATAGTTCAATCATGTTGACATCAAGTCGACAGTTCAAGACCGCTCACCGTCCGCCCCCGCTCAATGTTGACGGCACTGCTCCTGCTGGCAGTGAAACTTGGCGATTTCAGCTTTCCACAGCTGAGGTTTCCGTTTAAGGCTTTTGATTAAGTATCATATTGGGAGATAGTCTTTGCAGTGCACATGCTCAGGCTTCAGCTATGCCGCAGTGAGTGTAATGGCAAGTGCGGGACAAGCAGCTACGGCTGTGCAAACAGCTCTTGTGACAGCACTGATGGCAGCTATGCAGTAGGCGCCACCTATGCCGAAGGCTATGCAGCTGCTTTCCTTCAACACCATCACGAGCTGCTGAAACGCTCTTCGAATGCCTCAAAGGCGACTTGGCATCGGGTTTCTCAATCTTTTAGGTGTAGGTTGCACGGCTTTCTACCAATCATGAGCTAAGTGTTGCCAACAAATGGTTGGGTTGGTCCGGTATATGGAATCACTTTGCTGGGAATCCAAGTTTGCTCTCTACATGTCCGTTTCGTTTCCGTATTTCTTTTCAAGCTACCTTGCTAGCGTCTCGAAGTTTTTGCAACTTCCTTTGCTACTTTTCGCTAACTTGTCCATTGCCATGTTTTTCTTTGCGTTTTCACCATGATGAAGGCTTTAAGTTTTCCCGGTTAATTTTGTGTAAAAGGTAGAGTCGCAATCTTTCGTCGCATACTTAGCCGATAAGCTCTAAGACCACCAAAGCTGGCTGACCATGCCGAAGACCAAAACCCTGTGGTAACCGTCAACATCCGTCAACAAACTTCCTCACGAATGTTGCAGAGAAATGGCCCGTGAATCTTCCAGCTGACAATTCGAAACTTGCACGGCGCTCGGGTTGCATGAGGGTGGTTTACATGCAAATGGCAAACAACTTGGCCAATGCTTGAAAAGAACAAAAGAAGGAAAAGAAGAAACCTAATGGCCATGGCCTCCACAACCTACTAGCGATGGCCTCCAAATGGCAAACAAATTGGGCCTGAGTGCAATGGCAAATCTGAAAAGTGATACTGATCGGTGATGGGAAGAACTCAAGAAAAGGAACCTAATAGCTATGGCCTTCAACCTAGAAATGATGGCCTGATGACCTCCAACCTACGAGCGATGGACTCCAACCTAGTAGTTTTTGCTTCAAAGTGAGAACTGGTTGTGGACCTAGAGCCCAAGTACGCTAGCATTCCTTGTGTTGCCTTCGGCGCTGAAAGCTTGTGCGCAGTCATTTCAGCGCTGTTGGGGGTCCGGCAGATTGTTATCGCATGCCAGAGTTTCTAGTTTCAGCCTTCTTGATCGGGTGAAAACTGCGATGGACACGCGAAGTTATTTCAGTTGGTGGGGCTTGACATCGTGGTTCAGTGGCATTCAGGGTGTGAAAGCTTGTGCGGTGACGTTTCGAATGTGTGACTCAGTCTGCAGGACAATTCTGAAGTGCTGGATCGTTTTCTCTTTGTGAGCGGGCCATGGGATGAGGCCGAACTTCCAGAACCAGCGCTGCTGAATGCCGAGTGCCGTGGAATTCTACATTCGAATTGAACAAAAAAGGACAAAGACACCATGAATGAATATGAATTCTTGGGAATCGTTTCCAATGTAACAAGAAGCTTCTTAGGTCTTTGAAGCTTTCTAACTAGAAGCTACTGGGGTGGCACTGGGTACCCTGTGGGTGCACTGTGCAGTGCTTGGAGGCTCGGTGCGCACAAGCACCCTGGATGTGCACAGCACCTTTCGATTGTCTCAACAACAGCGGCCGGCTCGAAACCATGCAGGCTTGAAAGGGTTTGAGTTCAGTGTTCGATACGATTTGATTTCAACACTTTTTCCGTAATTGCAATCTAATTTGGCCTAGCAACCCCTGTGCAAGCCACTCCTTTGTGCAAGGATCAAACGTAACGACCAAAGGAAGCACAGATGTCCACCCATCCGCATGGGCAAACCAATCATTCAATTGTCTGAAGATCTTGCTTTTCACTTTATGAGTTTGCAGAGAGCTAGTAGTAACAGGTGCCTTACTACTAGTAACAAGAAGCTAGTAACAAGTGCCACGCTAGTAGTAACAGGTGCCTTACTAGAACCGAACTCACAGTGTGGGGCTGCGTTTGCAAGGAATTGAAGAAGAAGTTGGCCAAGCCAACTGGGATCAATCCGCAGTCGTGGTGCCATGCTAACCCAACACAGTGGCCAGCAGGCCTACAATGCATCGTAAATCAGGCAACATCGGCGACGTGATGCGATGCATGTTTCTACGATGGCCTCCAACCTAGTAGCTTCTCGATGTAATGCCCTTTTGTACTAGTAGTTTCCTGTTCGCGCTTCAAGCTGAAGGGGGTGAACATCGTCATGATGAGTGCGGAATAGAAGATCAATGAAGATGTTAGCTGTTTTCCCGAATGCGTAGCGAAGGGTTCTCGTTTAACTCTTGGGGGTCTGGGGGTAGAGCCTTGTTCGCGATCCGTTGTTTCTACGTCCGCAACCGTCCGCAACTGTCCGCAACCGTCCGCAACCGTTCGCAGTAGAGCGCTAAGGCGCTGCCATTGGGGGAAGCTTTTGCAAGTGACTAGGCATGGATGTGTCACGTGTTACTTTGCGACGCGAGTCCATTGTGATTCGCGTGAAAAGGGCATGTCGCGCAAGAAGCGTGATGCATTTCGCTAGCGTTTTGTGAGATCCGCAGCTTGCTACGCAGTTCCATTGGGATTAGCGTGTGGAGAGTCGTGTTTTTGGGGTGTTGGATGTGGCCGTGCCATTGGGATTTGCGTTTCAGGGTGTGGCATCGAAGCTCTGTTTTCGTGACAAGTCTCAGCTGAAATGCATTTTGGACTCTGGGAGTGTGCTCAGAACGGGTCGAAATCATTCCAAACGTGTGGTGTGGTGCAAATTTTGTTGAAGCTCACATGAGATGACCTTGTTACTTTTCGTGGCAGGCGCAGGACTTTGTGCGGGTTTTGAGGTGTGGAAGTGGGATTTTCGTGGCAGGCGCAGGGAATCGTGAGGTTGCGATGTGTGACGGAGGTGACATTTCGTGGCAGGCGCAGTACTTTGTGCGCGCTAGACGTGTGGACGCGAAAAGATTCGTGGCCGGTGCAGGGAATCGGGAGGTTGTGAGTTGTGGTAGAGGTGAATGTCGCTGTCACATTGGGATTGGCGTGTGAGCGGGTGTCGTTTGGAGGGGCTGGAATCGCGAAACTGCTTGGCAGGGCTGCGTGATGTGTGTGTGCTCCGATGGGTGTTTCCGCTGGACTTTTGGAGGAAGTCTCGCGCGAAACGTTCGTTTTGCAGACTTTGACATGTGAGTTTTTGAGGAAGTCTCGTACGAAACGCTCGTTTTGGGGACTTGACATGACTTTTGGAGGAAGTCTCCTACGAAACGCTCGTTTTGGAGACTTGACGTGTGACTTTTGGAGGTCTCGTACGAAACGCTCGTTTTTGAGACTTGACCCGTGACTTGTGGAGGAAGTCTCGTGCGAAACGCTCGTCTTGCAGCCTCGCAGCGTGACTTTTGGAGGAAGTCTCGTACGAAGAGTGTGCCCTACAGGAGTGTCCCACAAGAGTGTCCTACAAGAGTGTCCCACAAGAGTGTCCTACAAGAGTATCCCACAAGAGTTTCCTACAAGAGTGTCCCGCAAGAGTGTCCCACAAGAGTACATGAGTGTCCCACAAGGGTGTCCTGTATGAGTGTCCCACAAGAGTGTCCCACAAGAGTGTCCCGCATGTCCCACAAGAGTGTCCTACAAGAGTGTTCCACAAGAGTGTCCCGTATGAGTGTCCCACAAGAGTGTCCCACAAGAGTGTCCTACAAGAGTGTGCCACAAGAGTGTCCTACAAGAGTGTCCCATAAGAGTGAGCCACAAGAGTGTCCTACAAGAGTGTGCAACAAGAGTGTCCCGTAAGAGTGTCCCACAAGAGTGTCCTACAAGAGTGTCCCACAAGAGTGTCCTACAAGAGTGTCCCGTAAGAGTGTC